ACTGTTCCCATCCCCCAATTCCCCAATAAAAATCTTTAAAAAAAAACCAAAAACAACAAAAAACGTTAACACTTGTTAAATGTAGATTTGGAAATATGAATGTCTATTATATTATTTTTATACTTTTCTGCATATTTGAACATGTTCCTAAGTAAAAATGAAAATAGAAATATTTGATTTTAAAAAGAAATAATCTGATTATGGCAGTAGTTACACAAAATTTTATAGAACTATACAACAACCAAAAAAATAAAAACCCACTAAAGAGTGCATGTAAAAACTAGCATAATCTGAATTACATCTGTAGTTTAGTATTGTGCCAATATCAATTTCCTGATTTGATGATTGTACGGGGGGTATGTAACTTATCACCGGAGGAAGCTGAGTGAAGGGTACATGGGAACTCTCTGTACTAGTTTTACAACTTCTATGTGAGCCCGAAACTACTTAAAAGTTAAAAGTTGTAAAAAAAAATAATACAGAGCAATAATAGCATTATGAAAGTTTAATTGGAGAGACTAATTTTAAAAAATAAAATTCTAAAAGGTTCCCGCTCTTTTGCTGCCTAAATGTCCTATCAATGGGCAGAATTTAGAGTTTTAGGCTAAGTTTTATAAGCGATTCCCTAGGTAATATTCTGGCTATTGTTAAGTATGTTCTTTGCAGAGACTCGCTTTCTATCAGCATGTGCTCCACCGGGCTCGTCCATTGTGGGCGCCCAGAAGGGGCTGCTTTATGATGGGCTAGATTGACATCCACCTTGAGAAGGAAATCCAAGGTGGGGTAGAATCAACTCATATAAACACCAAGGAGGCCTGGTAGTTCCCACCCTACACAAAGGGCCAGCGGCCATCATTAGAAAAACAGACTGTGAAACAAATGCTCCCAGGGTGACCGAGCTAGAGAGGCTCCTAGTTAGCAATGCTCCTTCAGAGAGTTCTGGAAGGCAAAATGACCTAATCAGTATAAAGGCCGAGGCAAGAACTTGGTATACATCGCTCAGTGTCACTAGCTAATGAGATCACAGGGTCCAGGAACGCTATAGCGTCTCGTGTTTTATGTGCACGTTTGAATGTTGTTTGCGACAACACTAGTTACAGCAGAACCAATGGGGATGAAAAGAATACCGACACCCCTAATTATAGGGGGAAAGCCACCACACAGGGGCAAGAGGCTCATCCCTGTGGGAGTTGCCACTCGATAAGGTAGCCACTGCGTTTCTCTTGTTCCCACCCCTGTCCCACTGGGAGGAGAGGCAAAACCTAGAGCTGGTAGGAAAGTTTATGTGTGAGCATCCAAAGAGAGCTCAAGGAGAGCGGCCCCAAAGCCATCCTTTCCCGTAGCCCATCTCTTGGGGTGAGTCTTTTCACGGCGATGAAATTCGATGTGACCTCACCGATCACGACATGTCTGCACCTTGTGGGTCCNGGGGCAATGCCACTAAGAAATAGCACTCAATAGACAGGTTAATAAAACTGAAACCCCGTTCATTCATTCTGCCACCACTGGCTTTGGCCTCTTTCCTCAACCGTCCCCCGCCCTCCTGCCGGGCTGTCTCACCCCAGCCTTGGTGGCGAGAAGAGACCAACAGCACCATTCCTGATGCTGTACAGCTTCCAACGCTAGGATAACACCATTCAGTACAGACCATGAGCATGCTACGTTTGTAACTTTGAAAGATCATCATTTGGGTGAATGTAAGGGGGAAGCCTGGGACAATGATCATCTGGGGACAAGATGAAGAATTTCAGCTGAACAGGAGACAGCCTTCCTGCCTCTCTTCTTTATCTCTTGAAGGTAACTGCTGCGAGGGGTGAATTAGCGCAGCGCAATCCTCTTAGGCCACGACAGTCGGCACCTCGAGTTTAATCTAACGCCTTCCTGTCCCTGTAACAGTTGTAGAAAACAGGCGAGTCTGCCTCCAGACATCCGTGTGGTGAGGACATTGCCCACAGAGGCCCAGAGCAGCGTGGCCCAGACGGGGGACATGTCATCGGCTCTCCATGAGCCAAGATGGTTGAGAGAGGGGCCAGGTCGTGGTTCTATTACTGTGAGTCAGTGACGCAGAGAGAGAAGGAGAAGAGGAGCAGGCAGCTCTCGGAAATACCCCTGACTTACAAAGAGAAGATACTGAAGGGAGTCCATGTGAGCCAGGTGCTCCCACACTTGGTGTACGATGGGGTGTTTTCCCTGAAGGAATACCAAGAGATCATCTCTCGGGACTGCCCTCGGCAGAGAGTGGAGGCTTTTCTTGTGAAGCTTTGCTCCAAAGGTCCAAAGGCTTTCTGTGTTTTTTGCTCTCATCTGGAGGAATTCTGCCCTTACCTGCTCACCTGCTTTTTTCTTTATTACCAAGGTAAGAAAGCACTTTGCTCTGAAAAATATTAAGCTTCATGATACCTGGCATCCCAGCCTCCCTGTGTAGTAATGAGCTACACCACAGCAGTAATTTTTATTTTAATAAAAACAGCCCATATGTCTCTCTAAAATCTCATGATACAGAAGTAAATGTCTGTGGTGCCAAATAAAATCTCACATAACCCCTGAGACAACCTGAGGGATAATTTCAGGTACCTAATAGGAAGCTGTGCATCTTTCTTGTTTTAATGAGGACTTTTAAGTACAAGGCATAACATATTAATAGGTTAAGGAAGTTAAACTGAGCTCATTCTACAGGTCAAGGAACAAAAATGATCACGGTTCCTCAAAATGTCAAGAGTTATCATCTGACCCAGCAATTCCACTCCTAGGATACACCCCAAAGAAATGAAAACGTTATATCCACACAAAAAACCATAAGAATGTTCCTGGCAGCATAATTCATAATAGCCAAAAAGTAGATAAAATCCAGATGTCCATCAGCTAATGAATGGATGAACAAAATATGGTCTGTCCATACAATGGAATATTATTCTGCCATAAAAAAGGAATGAAGACTTAATTTATGATACAACATGGATAAACCTTGAAAATCTTATGCTAAAAGAAAGAGGCCAGTCACAAAATGCCATCAAATGTGGTATGATTCCATTCATATGAAATGTCCAGAATAGGTAAATCCATAGAGACAGAAAGAAAGTAGATTAGTGGTTGCCAGGAGCTAGAAGTGGGTGGAATGGAGAGTGACTACTAGTGGGGTACAGAGTTTCTTTAGGGGGGGATAAAAATGTTCTGGAATTAGTTCATATGATGGTTGAGCATGTCTATGAATATACTAAAAACCACTGAATTGTATTACTTTAAAAGGATGACTTTTGTGTGTGTGTCACATATCTATAAAGCTGTTATTTAAAAAAAAATTAGCACAGGAGTCTACTCAGCTGTTTCTCTTCTCCCAGCCTTCTGAAGACAGCCCTGTACTTGCCTTTCCCAATTTCCCCACCTTTTTCCTTCTATGGACAAAGGATCCTTTCCTGCTAAGAGAGGGTTTGGGTTGGTCGATATAATACAAGAATTAAGAGTGGGAGAAGGTGAATGGGAGAGAAAAGCAGTGTAGAGCAGAACAAAGGAGGAGGGTTTGGGAAAAGTGATGCCAGCTGACGTTCTGGGGCAGTTGTGGGAGTGATGGGGACAGAGGCACAAGAAGGGGACCTATATTTGTGATGCTGTGGCCTGTGGACCCAGACACCCATTCAGATCTTTGAGAAACACAGGAAAAGATTTGCACTGTTTTGAAGCAGTGTTTTTTGGTTGTTGGTCTTCATTTGCCCACAGCATTTCTCCAAGACCGAACCATAAGGGTCCCAGCGTTACACCAGTGCCATGGATTTTAGAGTGTTAACGGAGAAACTATCGTTGGTTTTTAGGATAGTTGTGAATCACAGTCGTATTGTAAACTGTCCTATACCACCGCCCCGATAATGCTCAGTAAAATGGTTCACCCATTGAAAACATCTCATTGGTGAAAATGAATATTTATACACGGCTTATTTATANGGGGCGGGGCACAGCCTGCACCTGCACCTGTCTTTCCAGAGAAAACCGCTATGTGTACGCATCCCGGCCCACAGTGCCGCCCGTGCCTTAGGAGGCGCCCTACCGCGTTCCCCGCAGGGAGTCCCGCCTCCCCGTTACCTGCACGCCGGCAGTCGCGCGCTCGGCCTCCTCCTGCGCCGCCGCCCGCGCCGCCCTTTCCAGCTTCATCTGGTGGCTCAGCTCTTCGGCAAGGCACAGCCGCAGGCGGTATAGGCGGTAGCGCAGGTCGCGGTTCTCGGCCCGGAGCTGCGTCACCTCCCGCGTGAGGCACGGCCCCTCGGCCTGGCATTGGTCGGGTGCGTTTAGCTGTTCGTCCCTCAGGCGCTGGACCTCCGCCCACAGCCAGCGGATGTCTTCCTCCTGTCGCGCCAGGCGCGAAGCCACGGCCTCTGCTGCCAGGGCCTCGGCCGCCATGGCTCCGGCCTTCCTCAACGACCAGCGGAGCGCCGAGTGGTAGGTAGTGGCAGCGGTCACCGTTACTGGGGAGGGCGAAGCATCGGCTGGGCGCACCGCAGGGGGGCGGGGCGACGGGGAGAGGCGGGGCTGCCGTTACGTACAGTGCAGGGGCGGGGCTATAGGAACTGTGGAGAGGCGGGGCGACGGGGACAGGTGGGGCGGGGCCACAGGCCTTGTGCACTGCAGGGGCGGAGCCGAGATCGGGCACATCGCAGGGGTAGGGTCCGCCTGGTGCAGGCTCGCGCGGTGGGTGGGCCTGGCGAGTAGTGGCGAATAGCCTGAATAGGCTCAAGGTACTTTCAGGGCTATCAACGTGTCGCCATTCGTGGGTTAAAATGCAAATCGTCCAAAATCTTGGGAAGGCTAACATCTCCTGTCCCAGTATGGCTCCTGTCTTAACCCTTGTGAAATCCGGTAATCCCTATTCTTTCACCTTGCATCAATGTTCTGAAAAATGGCCACTGAGAATCAACCTTCGTTGGCTTTCATGCCAAGGCTGAACACGTGCAGAGGCTGCTGGGCCAGGGCACATAGAGGCTCTCTACAAAAATGTAACTGTGACTACAAGATGCTAGCTCCTCTAGGCTGGGCCAAAAGCCACATACATCTTTGTAGCCCTCATAACCATGAGTACAAACCTCCCTGTAGTAGGAACACAAGTTGATTTTCATTAGCATTCTTCGGGATTAGAATGTGGCAAACACTGTTCTAAGCTCCTTCCAAATATTAACGCTAAAACTTATAACAGGATATAGTATTATGTCCATTTAGTATAGATGGAAAAACTGGAGCACAGAGAGGCTACCTGCACCTGTCCTCCAGGGTAGGGCGGTCACGTGTCTTCCTCACCATTATTCTGTATCACCTACCAGCACAAAGTGGGCACCCAAATAGAGAAAATCTTAGAGTAAAAAATAGCCTGTGACAAAAATTTGGAGACAGTAAAACACATCAGCGGCTACCAGGAGTGGGGTGAAGGAGGAAGGATGAACAGGTGGAGCACAGGGGATGTTTAGGGCAGTGAAACTATTCTCTTTGACACTGTATTCGTGGGCATGTGTCATTGCACAGTTGTCCAAACACACAGAATGTACAACACCAAGAGGGAATGCTAAGATGTCAGCTATTCATGATAATGGCGTGTCAATGCAGGCTCATCCGTTATAATAAGTATGCCTATCTGGTGGGGGATTTGATAGTGGGGGAGGCTGTGAGTGTGTTGGGGGAGAGGGGGACATGGGACTCTGTACAGTAAGTCCTCACTTAACATCATCGATCAATTCTGGGACTTCAAGCGAAATGAGGTGTAATGAAACCAATTTTCCCCCAAGCTAACGAATATAAAGAAGAGTTTTGTTCCTACCACATCTCGTCAACGTTGTAACAAAACAACACTGAATGAAATGATATTATTGGAGGATCTGCTGTACATTCTGTTCAACTCTGCTGAGAACCTAAAACTGCTCTAAAAAATAAAGCCGATTTAAGAAAGAAAGAAAAAGAAAAAAAGACAGCCTGAGAGACTGCAAACTACCACAAGATGGCACCGTTTTCCCTTAGAAGTTTCAATGTGGGGCCCGATTATGTACTCACCGGTGCTGAAGGAAATAGTTGGTATTCTGGGACTGCCTCCCCTGTTCTCCAGGAGTCTCAGAGTGCCTCACTGTCTTGTCTCAGCCCAGCTCCAGGTTCGTGCTGTCAATGGATGTTTTAGATGTGAGGTTCGTTGTTATTCAGGTATGGTGAAGCCAGCAGATCAGAGACCACTGCCATTGAAAAGACTGTCATTCATAGTTCCCAGGAGGAGGGGCCGTGCCATGCCAGGGAGGGCCACACTGGAAGCACCCAGGGTGGTCGGGGGCAGGGGCAGTGGGAGGAAGTTGGCTACTTTGAATTTCAGCAGGCACTGCTCTGGGAGGGAGTATTGGGGCTGTCCCTGTGTGTCAGGTATGTGGCCCTGAGGTGATGAGGGCAGGTGGACAGTGGTCTGAACTGTGAGACCCTGAGAAAGGGGGTGTTGGGGTGTGGGCTCTGGATCGATTGACTTGCATAGTGAAGTCACGCTTTCAGGGAGTCCCTTGCTACCTTAAGGAATTGGCTGGCCCTAGGAGGGGCAGTCTCTCCAGGTTCAGCAAGGCCTCAAGATGTCAAAATCAGAAACAGGTGGTTAATACAATGGAGTATGGCAGCGTAAAGTTACTTTCTCAAGATCACACGTGCGGTCAGAAGCCAAGGCAGGAAAAGCCTTTTCTTGTAGTTACCACCACCATTCCAAGGAAATAGGGAGTTTTGATTTCTGAAAAATAACTCTTCTACCCAGATGTGGTAGAAAAATAATTGTTTCTATAAATGGAACTGGCAAGAATAGTACAATAAC